ATTCTTTTGAGCTAGATGCATGTTTTTCTTTGCAATTAGATCATTTAAGCAGAGTATGTTGACATATTTCATCTCTTTTTGAGCATATTTCACATTTATGCTCACTAGTTTTGTGATCTCTGGCACAGAATGCACATTTTGAGTCTCTAAAACAAGAGATTGCAAAGTGTTCATATCTTTGACAGTTTGAACACTGTGTTTGAGCTTTGAGATTCATTCTTGAGTCTTTGTATTCATGAAGTCTCATTTTCAAACCTGCTACTCTTAAATTGAGAGAGTGTTTCAGAGTGTTCATTAATAAAGCTTTCAAATACTTTAGAAGAATGTTCACTGACAAAGTATAAGTGTGAAGAATCATCATCATCAACTGAATCAGTGAGTTGAATATGAGATTATGAATATGTGTATGAGCGGGATCATGTTGAATCTGCCATCTTGATGTTCATTTTATTGAATTCTTGTCAATATTATTCTCTTTTTCTTGCTTTTTTATAATGTGATGCATTTTCTGCAAGTCTTTTTTTTAAGCAAGCAGTAGTATTATTGATTAACAAGATCTTAATACTGATAGAGTAAGACAATTTTAACTTCTGATGAGCATATCGAATGAAGCAGTAGTTAAAATAATGATTATATTAACAAGGAATTCTGAATTGGCAGTGATTTTGCACAAAACAGGTCTCATAACCTGTGAAAGATGTAAAGCTTGTGTGATTGAAAGGTTGCTAGCTTGTGAAAAGTTATATGATGAAAGGATTAGTAAGCCAGATCACGTGACCTGACACTTCTCTTTTGAATTTTCATAACAGAATTTAAAATCAGTTCAACATTCATTTGATTATTATGAATCTGACTATTTCTAAGTCTTTTTAAAGCAGCTTGACTATCAGAGAATATTCATATCTCTTTCAAACTATTTTCTCTTTTATGAGATTTTATCTCCATAAGTTTGAAAGCTTTTACTATTGTAAATAGTTCAGTATCAAAGACTTCAGATTTACAGACTAAATTTCAGAAATCTGAGATAAAATTAATATTATCTTCAGTATAAGCAATGTCTGCATCTAATCTATTCAAACTCTCATTTTTTCAGTTATCTGAGTAAATCAGAATAGAGTCTTTTATATTAATTGTAGAGATCTTCTTTAAATACTGTTTATATTCTCTCTCTTTAGATAGTTCACTTTTCTTACATATAATTATTACATAAAGATGTTGAATCTTCTAGAGATTATACAGTTCACACTGAACTCTTACAGCTTAATTCAGATCACAGATAATATAGTAATAAAGCTCTGAGATATCTATAACTGAGCAGAAGTCTTCATAATAAGTATTAAATAACATTAAGAGAATTAAGTCAATGTCTGATAAGACTCTGCTGAGTAATATAAGATAGAAGATCATGTATAATTGAATCTTAAAAATATACAAATCACACACTTATTTTATACACTGAACTATTATCATACTAAATACAAAGTAATAGAAGTTCTAGTCAGTTATAACTATTATCTTAATACTTTATCAGAGATTTATAATATCTTTCATATAAGCTTACTCTGCTACACTGCTACTAACTCATTCTCTTCTTAACTGACTTCTGACTGATAATCACCAGAAATCATAGAAGAAGATAATGAACTTGAATAAGAGATTGAAGATATTCTTAATAAAAGACTCTGCAGCTGTGACTGATAATATTTTGTAAAATAAGTTAGTTATAATTATTTAATCTGAACTTCAGACTCTGTACTATCTGAAACAGCAGCTCTCAACTGATGAAAACTACATACTCACAGCTCTATCACTTAAAGCTTACTTTCAGAAAGAGAGAGACTAATGTAGTAGACTACACTTAATTAATAGATTATTTCATTACACTTCATAGATTTCTACTGAAAGCTCTGATTCTTAGTTACTAATTCTCAGCTGAAAACTCACAGAGCTTCTATTCTCTCATCTCAGAGCTTTATCTTATACATGTATAAATATTCACTCTGATTATACTCTTACATCTTCTCTCTTTTCCTTCTCTAATGTTTTGTATTTTTATTATATAAGTTCTATATCTAATGCCGGTCTTTTCAGCGTTGACTCATTACAATTTCATTTAAAATTCTTATATATACATAAAGTTTTATTTCTGATTCTGCAGTTTTAATTAACTTTTTTTACTATTTTAAATAAATCTTCTGAGAGATTTTATATACTCTTTAATTTAAATAAGAGAAAAAAGTGTTATTTATATTAAATACAAAAAATATTCATTTTAGAAGATTTTTCATTCATTATATACTGTTTTTAATTATATAATTTATATTATTTTTATATATTTTTAATAATAATTATCTTTTTTTTATTCTTCTGAGTAGAGAGTACACTTTTTTAAATCAGTATTTATTATCTTTTTTCTCTTTTTTTATCTCATTATATTCATATATGTAATATTTATCAGAGTATGAAGTTTTCTCTCAATCAAGTAAAGTAGTATTAATTAAATACTTTTTTATTTATTACTCTTTTCTATACTTCTATTTTAAGATGTTTAAAATCACTCTGATATAATAACTATAAATTACTTAGTAAATAGAATTATTATGTCTCTGAGAAGCTTATACTTCTCACTAGTTTTTAAACATGCTATCAGATGTGATTCAAAGATTGCTTAAGTTAATATAGAATTGTAAATATACATCAGCTTCTTATATATAAGATAAATAATTAGTAAGACTACTAGAGTCTCTTACATTTAGAAGTATATTCAGAAGCAGCTATGTTATTATTCAACTACATGTTTTTCCGAATTATATTTACAGAGAATAACTGTAAAAAAATCTTGCAATCACTGTATTTAAAGTGCCTTAGTGGTCAAATGATTAATGCGGCCATCTGATAGCACCTTGATATGAGAAATCAAGGCGTGTGAGTAGACTGACCGTGTGACCGTGTCTGAAACCAGAATCAGAATATTTAATGATCTTATTATCAACTTAATTAATCTCATTACATGATTTTAAGATTAAATAGTAGTCTTATACTGTCTCAGTAAGACTTACTATCTACTCTTATTATATTTTTCAAATAAGATTATAATTTTCACTTCTCAATTTAAATTCTTTTTATTGCTTTAAATGACTTTAAATCTTATTTAAGTATTATTAAAAAGTATTACTTTTTAAAAAATTAAACATAGTCTAAAAAAAATCTTAAAAAATCTAAAAATAGTGACTTTATACTAAGAATAAGATTAAATGAGATTAAATGAAATCACTTTCTTATTTTTTCTAAGTCATGATTTCATTTTGAGATCTGATAAGTAGTCACTTTATATGTTTCTTTAATAATTAGTCTCAGTGAGATTCACATCAAGAAATGTATGAGACCAGACTGAATGAGATTAAACATGAAATTCATGGTTCCGGCGGTCAGTCTAATCTATATTATGAATTCAAGTGCAAATTAGTAATAAACTGTGGCGGGCTGCCTCTAATCAATCATATCATATAGACTATTTCATTACACTCCATAGATTCCTGCCAAAAGCTCCGATTCTCGGTCGCCGATTCTCAGCTGAAAAACTCACAGAATCTCTATTCTTCCGCTCTGAAGCTTCACCACATATAAAGCTTCACCGCGTACATGTATAAATATCTACTCTGATCACTGATTCCTGCACTTTCTCTTTTTTCCTTCTTTAATGTTTTTCACTTTTGTATTATAAGATCTATATGTATCATATCAATCTATTCGGCGTAGACCTCTTATATAAACTGATATATAATTAAGCATCAAACTATCAACTTCAAGAAGAAGAAGAAAGAGAAGAAGAAGAAGGCGAAAAAGACAGAGATGAAGCAGAAGATGAAGAAGAAGACAGAGATAAATAAAAAAGAGAAGAAGAAGAAGAAAAAAAAGCCTGCTGCAGTTATTAAGCAGAATCTCTCTTCTTATAAACAATCTACTGCTGCTGTTACAGCCTCAGCTCATCTCATCAAACATCAGATTAGAGATAATAGTATTAAGTTACTCAATATTAAAGAAGTTGAGATTGAATATCTGCACTGAAAAAACATCTCTTTTCAGAGAAAATTAAACCATGTTTAATATCTCTTAGAAATAACTGCTGAATTCATCAAAGATAATTAGATAGCTTAAAGACTGTGTAGATGTTGTGTTTTTTTTTAAAAAAAATTAATTATTACAGAGTAATTAAATTGATGATTTACACAGAAGAATGATAATAATGATGAAAATATTCAATTCTACTATATTGCAGTTCACCTGTAGAATTGCTGTTTCTTAATGTGGACTAGCTCTATAATAATTAACACATCAAGGCTTGTGTGCTACAAAAACATTTTAAATAGAGAGAGATAATAGTGATATTACAGTTACACTGGGTCACACTCACTGAAAACTCTGTTTTCACAAGTAATACATCCGCCACAATTTCTGATTGGTTGGAGTGCCGCGCAGTGGAAGCCAAATTTCACTTGGACAGTCAGGGGGAACATTCTTTTGCCAACGAGCTCGGATCTGCCCATTCGACTCATTTGTCACTACTCCGTATAGACTGCTGCTGTAACTACATAGTTTCTCCTTGTCTTGTCCGCGTTGGCAAGATCAAGCTGAAAAAGTAAAAACCCAGCCTTGTCCCACCTTCACAAGCGTAGAACTCAAAATTCCGCCCTCCGGACTGTTGAGCCTAGCCCGGTTATGTGGCTGAAAGGGCCCAGTTGGCTTGTTTGATGCGAGCAGTGGCTGAACTCTTACCCCTCCAAGTTCCCTCCCCTCACCTCCAATCATTGGCCAGGGGCTGTGCGGACTGAGAATGCGAGAAAGAGGGGTTTGTCACTCCCTAAGAGGTTCAGGTTAGGTTGCTCCTGACGAGCGAAGGGTAGGCATTTTGGAAAATAGAGGATGGGAATGGACCGGGCGCATTTTGCAGGGGTGGGAGAACAAAGATAGTTCTCGTTTTATATATCTGCGCCCAAGGGGGGGGGGGGGGGGGGAAGCTATTTCAGCTCCTTCGTACCCTCACTCCTGGATGCCCATTATTTCTTCTCATTTTTGTTTTATAAAACCATAATTCCCTTTCCCGAGCAAATTTTGTTTTCGCAGCGCAGTTCTTTAACCTCTGATTCTATTCGCGCTCATCTGTTGCCATTTCCGATAGCGAAAACTTGATATACCCGTCCGTCCCCCTTTACCCATCTGCTGCAACAACATCACTCCTCTTCTAGTTATTTGTTGTGAGAAGAGAAGATTAAGATGGATCCATCGCAGCAGCAGCAGCAGCAGAACCCGCCCGCACGTGTGTAGTTACTTTTATTCCTGTTCTTTCTTTAAGCAATCCACCAGCCCAAGGCTCCTCATATCCAAGCAGAATGGATGAGAATGAAAAAATTAGCCTTGGAAGCAAATATATACCCAAATCATAAATGCAATACTTTTGTAACCGCATAAGAAACACGCGCTTACGTTTATTCTATCATAAACCACTTAGCCGCCCCTCAGCAGCAGCCTGGCTATGGCTATCCACCTTACAGTCAAGCCCCTCCTCATGGTACTCAGGGACAGTATCCTCCCCAGGGGCAATATCCTCCGCAGGGATATTATCTACCGCAAGCCCAATATCCTCCTCAGGCGGGCTACTACCCACCGCTGGGACAGTATCCCCCTGGTGCACCCGGCCAGGTGGCACCGGGCCAAGCACTGCCTCCCGGAGGACAACCACAGCCATATGCCCCTCTCCAGCAACAGCCATACGGTGCTCATCCGCCAGGACAGTACCCTCCTCAGCCGGCTGCTGGTCAGTATCCGCCCGCAGCGGGATACCCAGGGAGCTACCCACTGCAACCTGGATACAGCGCACCAGCCGGAGCTCCAACCAAAGCCCTCCCCTCCCTGGGCTATGATGCATCCCACATTGCCACAGGTGACATGAGCGAAGAAGCGCGCAAGCTCAAAAAGGCATTGAGCAGCTTCAACACTGATGAAGCCAAACTAATCCAAGTCCTCTCCAAACCTGATGCTGCCCAGATGACACTCCTGTGCAAAACCTACCGGCACAACATTGGCAAGAACCTTGAAGATGTCATCGCGGACAAAGTAAAACGTGACTTTGGTGACACCCTCCTCACCCTTGTCCGCGGGCCACTGAAAAATGACATAGTATACCTCCACAACGCCCTGCAGGCCACCGGCATATCCAGCGGCGCAGCCTCCAGCTCAACCTCCCCCTCAATCCTCCTCAATGACGTCCTCCTCCGCCGCACAAATGCAGACATAACAGCCCTCAAAACCGCCTTCCATGACACTTACAAAACCAACCTTAGCACCCGGCTAAGCAACTGCCCGGACCTCCGCGGGCCCCACCTCTCCTTATTCACCCAGACCCTCAAAGCCGAGCGCATGGAGGAATCCCAACCGCTCGACCACGCCCTAATCGAAGCCGACGCGGCCAAGCTCGACTCAGCCCCCAAAAACATCGACCCAGGCTCCCACGAGAACGATCTCATCCAGCTCCTCGCAACCCGCAGCGACAACCACCTCCGCGCCGTCGCGGCGGCCCTCTCCACCCGCCCGGCCTTCCGGGACGGAACCCTCACCTTCGAAAAGAAGGTGAAAGCCATCTGGGCGCGGGCGGACAGGAAGGGATTGCGGTATAGTGCACTGCATATTGTGCGCGGGGCGCTGGATGCGGCAGCGCTGGATGCGTGGTTGCTGTACAAGTGCATGAAGGGGATGGGGACGAGGGATTCGCTGCTGATTGCGCGGGTGGTGAAGTTGCATTGGCAGCGGGGACGGGTTGGGGAGGTGAAGGCGGCGTATAGGCGGCGGTTTGATAAGAGTCTTGTGGATGTTGTGGAGAAGGAGACGAGTGGGGATTATGAGAAGGTGTTGGTCGCATTGTTAGAGGGGTAGGTGGTAGTAGTAGTAGTTGTTGTTTAAGTTTGAAGGGGAAAGAAAAAAAAAAGGGGAAAGGGGGTGGTTAGGATCGACTCGTGATGAAGGTGGAATGTGGCCCTTTTCCGTATTATGACACTGACACAACTCTTCTATACTTTTTTCTCCAATTGTCTCTTCTCTCTCTCTCTCTCTCTTATTTTTATTTATTTATTTATTTTTGTACTACAGGCTACATTCACTATTTTATATTGTCCTAGCTCTTTATTAATTAAATGCTGAGAACGAACCAGCTCCATGTCCCTCTCTCATCACCTTCCGATGTCCACTTTTTTGGATGACCCGCGATATCATCCCTGGGATGAGCTATGCTATCCATACATATCCTATTAAGCAAGTTAAGGTTACTCATCACTCGTACCCCCACCCCAGTCCAAGCAATGCAGCAGAAAGTTATGAAGGAACGTTCTTCTCATCATTAATGAAATCTGTATTATCTATATCGAGCACCGTCTATGTATACGTGTAAAGTGCAAAAGGGGTTAGTTGTTATGTGCATCCTGGCCCCATCTAATACAAATGAAAGAATGAACATCATCAAAAGCCAGCCCAGAACCGAACCCAACAAACCACCCAAACAAAAAAACCATACAAAACCCAAACAAAACATAGAAACCAAAGCTTTAAGCTATTAATTCTGTGTTGAGAAGAAAAACCACATGCAAAAGAAAAGGTTAGGTTGTCCAAAGAAATTATTTTCCTTAACAAAGCCGCTTCGCCATACCAGGCGCCTATTAACATCCCCAAGCTTAGTCATGATCGTCGTGTCTTGAAATATATTGATAAATATAATCATCTCTTCGTTTCCGCTGAAATGGTCCAAGTCATCTGTCACTCAACTTCATTCTGAAGGGGCTGACACTGTTCAATGGGAATGTCCTTCGCTATTAGAAGGCGACCACTGCGCCAATCAAGGCACACATGGCAGCGACCCCATATGACATATGGAAATTGCCATTGGCTGCACCCGTTCCAGGAGCAACGGTGGCGCCGGCTGAATCCGTGGCACTGGGTGAAGGGGTGACAGTGGGTGAGGTGACAAAGCCAGTTGCTGTGATAGAAGGGGACGATTCAGGGCCACGAGCGGAAGAAGAGGCCGAAGATGAAGGCGACGACTGCGAAGTAGGCTGGGATGTTCTCTGAGAAGGAGGAAGATGAAGACGGGCCACATTAGAAAATACGAACTCACAACAGAGACTGTTATACATGTATATGTATACGTATATAACGAAAGGCAAAGGGGAATGCTCACTCACAGAAGCCGTGGACGGCGTTGAGGCTCTCCCAGAGTCGGTGACTATCCAGTCACTGGGGAGCCCTGGATACGAGGTTATTGAGGGTGTACTTTTAGGTTTGTGCGTGGTAGATGGGACCCAAGGATACCCGCTTGGATGTATTATACCTTTGGTAGGAGGGGGCCGGGTGGCTTCAGCAGGGGGAATTGAAGACTCTACCTGTTGGCCTGATCCAGGGGTTCCACGGCCATTAACTTTACCACCAACGGCTTCAATAGAGCCCCAATTGCCACTTGTGTCAGTGTACCGGTATTCAGTCCCGGTAGAATAGTCAGTCACGGCAATGGACTTGAGTCCCATGACATAAGGACCAGCGCTGTAATCAGTTGGACCACCAGCCCATTCTGAAAGGGCAGAAAAAAGAATCAGTTCATGTTAGTAATGTACTTTAGCACATATATGATATTGTGTGGGGGGATTACATACCGATAGTTCCAGGGGGGTTGGTAGGGTCACCACCAGCCCACACACCAGCCTTAACTTGCATAGGGGTCTGCGGGTACGAAGCGCCAGCCTCTGCAGCGGTAAGGGTGCGGACAGTGCTACCATCAATCTGCCAGAGAATCCGCTGGCTGTCCCAGTCGATCGAGTAAGTATGATAGCCATTCTGGTTGCCTGGATTACTGTGGAATTGGCCACGGTCAAAGGTGCCTTGTTGGTTCTTTCCGAAGTAGTTGGTCTGCACCCTGCCGTTGTCCACACCAAGCCATTCCCAGTCAACTTCGTCCAGGGTGTCGGATTGCAAGACAGCACTGCTGACAATGCCTCTGCCCGAAGCGGCTTTGATGACGAACTCAACATGGCCAAACATGATGTAGAATTTCGAGATGAGGGTGGGCGAGTCGCCCTGCTTGGCTACGGCCAAAGAAGCCCCGTCTGCGCCATACGATGGGGATCCCCCGAGGATGTCGAATCGCGCAGAGGCGGTGTGAAACTCGAAGTCTGCAGTTCCCCCGAGAGCAGGATTTGGAGGGCAAGCTGTAGATACAAAATAGGTAAGTAACGAATTAATTCAATCTATCAAACAAAAAAACAGGTTCAGAATTAGGGGGCCTGGTGTTTAAGAATTTACTCTTTTGCATGGGATTACAGGCAGTCCAAGTCTGGGCCGCCACCAAGCTGGAACCCGAGAACAGGGACATGGCCAGAGCGGCCACTGAGCCCGAGGAGAGCTTCATGTTGAGAAGCGGTACAGTCTGTAGCTAGTGGGAGAAACAGCAACAGCCCACCTTAGCACAGCAGCTGGTACGAGGATGGACGACGTAGTGTGTATGAAAAGGGGGGTGTATCAGATGTTAGATTGAGGATAAACAAGAAACAATGGTAAGTGGAATGGAGAATGGAGAATGGAGAGGAGGGAGGGAGGAGGAGAAAGAGGGGACAGGAGCTAGATATAATATATAAAAACAGCAGCGGCGGGGGAGCTAACAGAGAAGGAGAGCTGCAGCCAGTGACGACGGGCGACGACGGTAAAGACCCGCCGCCCTCTCTTTCCCTGACAACATCTGCCGCTGCTGTGCGTCCTGCTGCGGCCTCGGGCCTGGGTCAAGCATAATCTCCAATAACAGTCAGTGGCTCCAGTTCTTCTGTCCTCTCCAGCCTCCACTACGCAGCGTATTATTTTAGTACTGCCCCTCCTCCCAACCTCCTCCGTCCTTTCTTCTCCATACTAATATCACAAATATCACAATCAAGTTGAACCAGCCATGCAACTACCAGCAGCCAACCGGCTTTCATCCCTGCAAACATTCATTCTTCTCCACGGCTGATCAGACAGACAGACAACAGTCATGCCAACGAAACAACCACCCCTGCTTCACTGCTCCATCCCTCCGACAAGACTGCCAATTGACTGTTAACTTGGACTCGACGACTCGGGAGTTGAGACATCCCAAGACCCATTTTTTTTTCTTTTTTTTTTCCTTCTTGTTCATCGCAGGTGGGTTCCCGCCACACCTACTAGTCTGTATACGCATAAAACACATAGATTAAGTTCATCGGTAACATGGAAACGGATCAAGAAGTGGGCTTCTTAAGGTTCGCAGACGTTTGGGTTCCCGATCGTAACCAATATATCCTGCCCGTCCCCGAGATATCTTCTTCTTCCATGTTGCTACTACTACCTCGCAGAACTCTGTACGGATTCCGACGCTCCGTGGATCCAACTCTGCTCACCGTTGAACGGCTCAAAATAGCCTTTCAAACATCAACAACAAAAAGCAAACCTCTGTCCGGCGTGGCGCGATTGGCGAGTGCTTTGCCTTTGGCTATCATGCCCACTATTGGCTCTGGCGCTGGGCGGAGGCTGGGGCAAGAGTCGTACGCAGCGTAAGACACTTGACCCTGGCCCTAGCAAAAATGAGGAAAAAGAAAAAGAAAAGAAAAAGAAAAAGAAAGTCATGAGGCGGGGCACGATTAGCGTGTTCTTTTTTTTTAGTGTGTCTGTTAGTATATTAATTACGCAGTACTTTCATATGATTGATTAATATGAGAGATCAGGAGTAATATGATGTTTTAGTGTATTTTATGTATTTTATGTAATTTATTTACTCTAACTCTACGGACCTCCGCAATCAATTTCTACATAGAATTGAAACTTCTCTTAATTGAGTTTTCAGCCTGAAAGGCAGATTAATATATTAAATAACTAAGAGGTTATTGGCTGGAGTTCTCGCATTTTGACCAGACATCAAAGAATTTCATGGATTGATTGAAGGATGACAATGTGCAAGCCACGAAGATTGGAAAAACTACCCAGCCAGATTTTATCTTTTGTGCAGCAGTGTGCAAGGTATCTAAAAGAGTACAATCACAAGGATACAAAGCAGTGGAAATAAATAAAAATGCAGGAATAATCTCCTCAAGGGAATACAGCAGGCGCTCTAAGGCGTACAGAAAAAGTCAACCTCGCTAAAAGCGCCACTCGACCTCGTTATGTAAGCAGACCTCGTGGATAACATAATTTGTTGGTGATTACTACACCTACCCTAGTCACGTGCCACCCCAACCTATTCATTTAGTGTAACTCGCGTAGTTAGATTACAACACAACACAACAATGTTATCCTTCAAGATGTGGTTCGGAAGAACGTACGACCGTCGGATAATAACACGGCCGCTTCTGAACTTGCTTACGAGTGTAAAGGGGCCATAGCGGCTGCTAATTAATTTAGCATATGATATATAAGAAGCCAGTGTACACCTGTAATCATACACTGGCTCAATCAATCTTTGAATCACATCTGATAGCATGTCTAAAAACTGATAAGAAGTGCAGGCTTCTTCAGAACATGATAATTCTGTCTACAAAGTGATTTGTAGTTATCATGCCAGTGTGGTTCTAGAATGTCTCAAAAGATAGTGTATAAAAAGTGATGAGTGAAAGAGTATCTGATTAATACTGCTTCACTTATTAAGAGAAAACTTCACATTCAGACAAATACCATGTATGAGATATGAACAGATGAGATGTAAGAAAGAAGATGAGAGTAGTGAATAAGATTCAAAGAAGTTTACTCTCTACTTAAAAGAAGAATAAAAAGAGAGAAGTGATTATCACTGAAGTTATACAATAATAATAGAAATTATATAATAATATAGTGATATAACAATACAGTAATATAATAATAGATATTATATAATTAATGAGAAATCACTGAAATGAATATCTCTTCTAGTTAATATAAATAACACTCTTCTCTACTATCTGAACTGAAAGATATGCAGAATCTCTCAGAGAGTTTACTTAAAGTAGTAAGAAAAGTAGCTAAGACTGCTGAACTGAAATTGAAGCTCTGTATATATACAAGAATTCTAAACAAGATCAAGATCTTGTGTACATAGTGACAGACTGAGACAGAAGTTAAATAATAATTAACATTTACTGTGAATCAAGCATTCACTATAAAGAGCTTTGCTGATGTAATTATCATTATTAATAAGAATAGAGAAAATCAGATCTTAGATCTGTAGTAGAAGATTAAATATTTATATAGATAGATAACTATATTAAATCTGAAGATTCTATTATAATTGTTTATAATCTCTTCAGAAGTGTATACATTATCAGAGATTACTGTATAGAATGAGAATTTAAGTATGAAATATATTAAGCTAAGAGATCTGCTGAAGCTATTAAGCTTCAATAATAATTAAAAAAATAATGCTGTAATCAGCTGACTAAGTCAGATATAATTATATTATTGAATTAAATATAAACTTATAGATAGATAGTTAATGAAATTTTAACAAGTCTTAAGATCTGCTATGTTTCTATATAAAAAAGTAAAGTTATTATAAATAACTGATGAAAAGATAAATCTTACAGACTTAGAGTGATATTTATTTTTATAAATATGAAATGAGTTTTTCAAATGAATCTTACACAACTTTGAGAAAGTGAATGTATAAGATAAGTATTACAAATACTTCACTAAGTATAGATAAGTGAGTAATCTTATATCATACTTCACACACTTCAGCTTATACTATTTTATATTAAATAAAGAGCTTTTAAAGCTTTCTGTTTACAGATCTTCATTCATAATCTTATATCTGAGTTGAGAGTGAAATGAAAATACTTAATCTTACAGTCAGATACAGTGAAGAAAGCATACAATATTCTCATTATACAGAAATAAGTAAGTCAATTATGACAGAAAATACTATAATTGAGTATGTCTCAGTGAAGAATAAGTAATCAGACTTCTATAATATAAGTTATACATCTGAATACAATGAATCTAGATCTGAATATTATTACTAAAGCATTGAATTCTCTGAAAAAGAAATTCTCTGAGTGAAAATCTTGATATTGTAAGTATTAAGCTTGCTTCAACTGTAAATGTCAAAATCATGATATAAAAGATTACACTCAGTGTGCACAGTTAAGAGAAGTAAGAGAGATAAAAAACTAGCAGAATCAGTAAGCTCAGAGATACTCACTGATATTCTATAAAAAGTCTTCAAAGTGAAAGAGATGTCTGTATTAGATGATTCTCTGAATTCTGTGAATATAAAGAAGAAGCAGACTTCTGAATAAAATACAGATAAGAATAATGAAGTAAATACTCATCTCAATATCTTGAGATCTGAAATATTAATATATAAGAGATACTTGAATAAGAATTGAGAGATGACTGTAAAAGTCTTAGCAGATATAGAAGCTTCTACATAATATATTAATAATTATATAATTTAAAGATTGAAAGAGATTCACTGAGTAAAGAATCTCTGATATATAAGATTATCTAATAATTAATATTTAATATTATCTATAAGAGTAAGAGTTCTCTTACACTTCAAAGAATGATCTTGTTATATTTAAGTATAAGAGCTGCAGAACATGAAATACAATCTTATTCTCAGACTTAATTAATTTCAAAGATTCAATCTGCAGATTCAATAATGTACATACTATATATAGTTAACTGATAGAAAGAAAATAATTTATACAATTCTATTAACTAATATAAGAAGAACATTTCATATCTCTGATATAGAAGAGTTAAATCTGCTTATACATTAATAAGTAAAGAGAATAATTCACAAGATCTCATTTAAAAGCATTCTGTATATCATACAGAATTCAGAAGTAAAGAAAATCAAGATAAAAGATATATAAGAGAATAAGTGTATGAAGAAGCTTCTGAAGAAGTATAAAAAGATCTTCTGAACAGATCTTTCATCAGAATTATCACTGAAATGAGGATTTATACATGAGATTAACACAGAGAATGCAAAATCAGTTAATCAGAATGCATACTCTCTATCACAAATATATCTTAAAGAATAGAAGTGTCAGATCACAGATCTTCTAGAACATAATCTTATATAACTCTTATCAAGTATGTAAGACTTTCCAGTTCTATTTGTGAAAAGAATGAATAAGAAGTGATAAATATGTATCAATTATTGAGCACTTAACAAGCTTATAATCAAGAATAAATATTCACTGTTATAAATTCAACAATAGTTGAATACAGTTGAAAACACCTGATATCTATCAAAGATTAATCTTCTCTCAGAATACTAGTAGATCTGTGTAGATAAACTGTCAGTTCTGTGAATCATATTTAATATGTAATAAGAAAAGTTTGAATTTCTGATAATGTTATTCAGTCTGATAAATGTATTCATCATCTTTTAAACAATGATAAATATAATTCTTTATAAACAGAATGAAATCTTATATCTTATATATCTTGATGATATTCTAGTCTTTTCAAACTCATATAATGAATATCTGAAGCATCTCAATGAAGTGCTTACAACTCTGACAGAGTATAAGCTCTATGCTAAATCAATCAAGTGTGTGTTTAAAATAGAAGAGTTAAAGTTTATAGAATATGTAATAAGTGATGACTGTATACATCTCATTTCAGAGAAATTGAATATCATAGTAAATTAATCATGACTGAGAAATGTACATCATGTATAACAGTTCCTTGAATTGATCTTATACTATCACAGATTTATCAAGAATTTCACATAAATATCTACATCACTCTCAGATCTCTTAAGAGAAATAAATACAAATCTGTGAAAGAAGAAGTTTTATTCAATCATCTGAAATACTATGTATGAAGAGGCTTTTCTCACACTAAGAGAACATATAATAATATTTTCAGTACTTATTCAATCAGATTATAATAAACCTTTCTACATTAAAACAGATACATTTAAATGAGCTATCAGAGACATTCTTCTACAGATGAGTAAGAACAGCAAGCTGCACTCAGTGATATATGATAGTAGAAAACTATGAAGCACTGAGCTCAATTACTCAGTATATAAAAAGAAATTGCTAGTGATCAAGCATATACTGATATTATAGAATAAATATATTAATAACAAGTATATAACAATGATGATCATAGATTATAAAAGTCTTATCTATCTATAATTAATAATAAAACCTTTCAAATGCTTAGCATGTTGAATCTCAGAGTTTCAAGTATACAATCTTCATATCAAATACTGAAAGGAATTGAACACTGTAATATCTGATGCAATCAGTCACAGATCTGATTTCATAAGTGAGAATTCTGTGAATCAGGCACAAGAGACATTCACATTAAACACACTGAGAGAATGCAAGAAATCAGAATAAGTGAACATTATAATCTCTTACTTAAAGAATGATAAGATATCAGATAATAAGTGTTTTATAAGAGTAGTAGAAGAGATGCTTTTAAACTTCAAGCTGAGAAAATTGAAAAACAATGTTATACTTTACTGTAATCTAGAATACACAGAAGCTTCCTATCTAGAATCTTTATTTAGACACAACTTGATAACTCACATGTATAAGAAATTCAGTCACTTAGAAAGCTCTAAACTCATAAGTGTACTCAAATTAAGAGTATACTGATCAAGCATGACTGAGAACATTCAGATGTATGCTTACAAGTGTCTGAATTATTAGGTTGTGAAAGAATTTAAGAAAGGATTAGAAT